TTCATTTTAATATGTACATTTTAAGACACCCCTACTAAACAATGTTTTATTTTGAAAATATATTTATATGTTCACATATATTCAATACATATTCAAAAGTATATAGAATATGAACATTATCAAGACACCCCTTCTAAATAACCTTTTATTCTGACTTCCTTTTATAGGGTTCAAAGATTAAAGAATGTGGTTTGATGCCCCTCTAAAGGGTTCTGGCACGAGTGGGGTCTGAACACCGGCCCAGGCTTGAAGATCTTTTGCACAACATGTTTTAACCTGAAAACTTTAGTGTTTGGTCTAAACTACAAGCTGTATTCAGGACGGCCTGCATATCAGTCTCAGTGCACCCACCCAAAACACCACTTTCAAAGCCTGAGAAGACTAAACATACAGCTGGAAGACAGCACTGGATGGAGGACTTCAAGAAAGCTGGAGATAAGTCTGGCTTTGAAGATGAAAGATTAAATAAGACTGGGCAGAAGAGAGCTTCAGATGCATTTCCATAACCTTGAAGAAGTTATTTCACCTGGCTGAAGCCAGTAAAAGAGCTTTTAATAGCAGCCAAAGCACAAGTGTGGCTCAGAGGAGATGTGTGTGGGATCTGTGAGGATCTGCCCTCTTTGATGGTGTTTATGGTGATGGTGGAGTTGCTGGATCAGACCCAGACCCGCAATTGTATCTAAATGACGTGGAGTCCAGGTGCCTCGCTGCTGCTCTGCTCTCGATTAAAACAGACGGACATCTGCTTCAAAACCGCACGAGTCAAACATCTCCATTCCTACTGCTCACACTCATGACCTGAACTGCATCATTTGCACCAAAATCATGCAGCTTGTTGAGGAAAGGTTGACTTTTTTAAAGTGACCAGACTTCCACAAAAAAAATTACACAGACTTACATTGAAGGAGAGACCAACATTAAGAAACCATCTAGCAATCATTCAGAACACCATAGCAACACCCTAGCAACCATCTAGAGCACCATAGCAACTACCTAGAACACCATAGCAACAAAAGAATACCCCAGAAACCTAATAAAAAAGTTTGGAATAATTAAGATTTTTTAATGTTGTCTCACAAGGCTGCATTTATTTTATCAAAAGTTTTATTTTATTCAAGTATGTGAATATGTAGTAAAATGTAATTTATTTCTGTGATCAAAGCTGTATTTTCAGCATCATTACTCCAGTCTTCAGTGTCACATGATCTTCAGAAATCATTCTAATATGCTGAAAAATATATTGTTTGACATGTATTGACGTAAAAATCTCCCTTAATTCTTTAATATTTTAATATATAATAAAAATTATATATTATTTCATCATATATATTTTTTAACTATATACACACATATATATATATATATAATGCATTTTTAACAAATCATTGCTACCACTGATGCTCTAATAGAGCTGAGCTCCACTCAAACACCTTTTACTGCAATGCAAACATACAGTCAGTAAGCAGGAGCTGTGAATTCCCAAACGTAGCCGCTCTAAACGACCCTGGCAGTCTGACGGGAAGGGCATCTGTTGGACTGTGTTTCTCCGGTGTGTTTTGTGGGTCAGGAAGACAAAGGCCTCGCGCACCAGCTCTCCAGCGGAGCATGAAGTCTGAAGCCGTGGGAGTGAAGCAGGAGCGAGTGGCTCTGCTGATGGAGCGCAGGTTACTGAGAGCCGCCTCATACGTACAGGTGTCAAAGCAGCTTTAACGCCTCTCTAAAGCATCTGATGACAAATGCATGATTGTGGAGAGGGAAAAACACAATGGGTCGGCAGCAGGGGTCCGACGACTCGGATACGTGATGCTGAACTGAACTGGCTATTTAAAAAACATCTGTGAAGACATCAGAAAGCTTCCTGAACTGTTTACAGACTTGCTGTGTTCTTCTAAAAATAAGTGAATACATATTTACGTTTATCCATTTAGCAGGTTTTATCCAAGAGACTTACAAATGAGAAATGCAACAGGCAATTTAAGGAGATTTTTTTTTATTATTATTTTTTTAATACATTTTTTTTTTTTTTTGGATTCAGTTTTTCCATTTTTTTTTTTTTTC